AAATCCTGCATAATTACACAGAAGGGAGAATACAGGTAGGCAAATAAAGGTGCACCTGTAAAACTGGTCTCTATTTAGGCTTCCTATGGGTGAAGTGATTTGTGTTTGCTTTGTTCTAAGGGTCACAGCACCTTTTCTGTTTAGAACTGGATCCGCCTTTTCTGCCTCTGAAATGATAGCGCCTGCCAGGGACCAAGCTTCAGAAAGTGGTGGACACTGCAAGGTCAAGCTGGGTACCCAGAATCCCTAGTCCCTTATCAGAGTATTTAAGATGCAACTCCCTGTAGATGTGTCTGCACTGGTACTTTCCACTTCGCATTCCCAGCTGTTGCAATTACCAATGGGATTTCCATGTGCAACATGGATGGGAGCACTAGCTGAAGCCATCCTCCCTCCCCCATTTTAACTACCAATTAACCCTAATGGGAATGAGGATAGATGACAGATGGGTGAAGGTCTCAGAGTTGGCCTTCTCGTGCTATTTCAAGTGCAACAATAGGAAGTTAAGTGAAAAGTGCCAGTGCTGATAAGGCCAGGGTCTGTGACAGGAGCTCCTGGGTGCTGTGTAACGTTTCAGAACAAAGCAGTTGGATCCTTTCTGGACAGGCATTTTGTCTGTTGTCTATGCAAGGATTTGTCAAACACTGGACCTTTGAAAATAAAAGTTTGCATCAACCTGGGTTTTGTGTAGCAACGTGTAGCACCCCCAGGCTCCTGCCAGCATGGATGTGGCAGGCATGGATATCTCCATGTGTACAAAAACGGAGATAAGTTTCCCTCTTAGATCTTTCCATTATCCTAAAGCAGGCCCTGCCAAATTGCTGGAAACCGGTGACCTCATTTGCTTTTTGCCTGTTGGGCTTAACAGGAGAGCTGGGGACTTGAGGGAACATTGTGCAAGCCCCAGCGGACAATCAGGACACACAATATGTTGTAACTGGTGCATAATATAGCTCCTTTTCTGGAAACAAAAATGGAATGGTTGTGAACAGCCCTGCCTTGCCAGCATCTGCTCAGTCAACACAGCTTGGAGAGAACCAGGCCCTCTCACAGGCTTCGAGGAAGGAACGGGGTCTGACTTTGTCTTCCCGGCTGGTGTACAGTCTCATGCTGTCCCAAACCTCCCAGGTTCCTGCCTCTATTACATTGCCTGATGCTGCCATCTGTAGCACAGAACAGATAGCACCGCTGCAATCCTCTTCTTCATTTAGTGCAGTGGTTCTCAACCTTTTTAGACTCGAGGCACCACTCGGAAAATGCCAGCTCTTCGTTGTCACTTGTTGTTTGACTACAGAAAAATAATAGAGCAATTTTTCTGGTGCAAAGAACCCAGGAAGCCCACAACAGGGCAGAATGGTTTTAACACCATGGATTTGAAATCTCCGGCTTTACCTTGTGAATCACGCTTGCACTCCTTACACCGCTGGTATTAGGCATTCTGTAGCACGCTTCAAAGGATCTCAAGACACCCCAGGGTGCTGCAGCACCCTAGTTAGCTTCCAGCTACCGACGCTGTACTTCTCCTGTTGCCTCAGAACAAGGGGAATAGGAGCTGTTGAATAAGCCGTCTGACTTCTCACATATGCATATGTATCTTTATGTGAAGATGCTTCTGCTCCCACTTTTAGGCAGCAAAGTAGCTCTGTAAAGCCATATCATTCTAGGCAGAGATGGAAAGGACTTGCTGCGGCACCTAGTCCCCCACACCTTGCCAGGGTAGACCTGTTCCCTGCAGCACATTATCCAGTGTTTTTTTCCATTTTAAGTTTAGACGTCCCAGGCTATAGGATTCCTACCATCATTTCCCTTAGAGATTATTCTTTAGTCTAGAGAGCTCACTCCTGGACACCTTCCCGGTATTCACCCTAAGCCTTTCCTCTCTTAATTTCCAACTTCTTTAGCTTTGCCCCTTGATAATCCCTTCCATATTTCCTCCCTGTTCTTGGTGTTTACCCCCTGCCACCCCTTGCTCTCCCTTCTGCAGTCCCTTCCAAGCCTAGTTATTTGTAATGGAAGTCTTCCACAATACTCAGTAACTTTGCAGAGAGCAGTCAGGGAAATGGCGAGTGCTGTGGAAAAGCCTGCTCGTTATAATGGAGCTGTTTTCAAATTTCCCATGTCAGTCTCCCCCATCGCAGGACATCTGTATGGCTCTTCCCCCTGCCTCTCACTGCCACATGTTCTGCATGGGACTGTGCCCTAAAACAACTAGGACACTGAAGCTAATGTAAAAAAGGAAAGGGGCCTGCTGGCTAGGTGTCAAGTAACGCTAATGGCCTGGAACCTACATTGGCATCTGAATAAAGTCTCAGTTGACTGTAATGGCTTTGCGCTCCTCTCCTGGACACCATCTCTCTTTCCTGCAATGCAGTTTGTAACAGGGTCCCCAGGGCGTGGTGCCTGGGCTTCTGGGGAGAAAGAAGAATTTGGTAGCAGGGAGCATTCGGCGATGGGCCCGAATGTTGGAATTTCCTCCTGCCTGACTTGGTTTGAAACAGCTTGAATTCACGACCCTGTACGGCCTGTGGCACAGCCTCTCTGCTGGGGAGACTTAAGATGTAAGGACCTAGATGTAGTGATAAAAGTTATAGTTTAGAGATGCTCCCTAACAGAAGCCCGAGGAAGTTGGACATTTGGAGATAGTCCCTCAGAGGGAGTACCTAGTTCGTCCGAGAGTGAGACGAAGTCCTGCAGAGGCTCAGTTACTGCTCCACAATAAAACTTGTTCGTTCTTCTCATTCTTCATGCCTGCATGTGTTGAGTTCAGTGATTGCTCCCCGGGAGAAATTTGGAAGGGATGGGTGGATTTTTAATTGGGAGAAGCAGAATTTGCAGTAGCTAAAGGCGGCAAATCTCAGTCTTGTGCTTGGCTTCTTTAGCACACAGAGAAGCTGCTGGGTTATGTCTCTGCTGGACCGTGCTTTTAATGATCTGTTAAAGGCACCCGAGCCTGGGATATAAGCTCTCCTTACACTCATCTTCCAGAAGCAAAACAAATGCAGGAGCCAGTATCAGCACGGAGGCTCACACGCTAGGAGGCCCCAGCCCCAAGCGGTGGGTTTTTGCAGAACCACTCCTGGAATATCCCAGGCTATCAAATGCCCAGGGGTGAAATGTAGCATGTGTTTTTAATATGCTTGCACTGTGAAGGCAGGGAAATGCACAGAAGCCGCTCACCATAACTTGCAGACTGGCTATGAGCCTGGGTCTTTAAGTGGGTGGCACAAAAGCTTCCTCGGCAAGGATGTGGGGAAGCAGTAAACTGGCATGGGGAATGCCCATGGAAGACCCTCCGCCAGCTAGGTGGGAACTTTCCAGCTGGCTTTGGGAAGCCCTGTGCCTGTCATGGTGCAGCTGCAGTTGGCACAGGGGGGTCAGAAGCAGCTAAAACTCCAGGTGGTGTAGGAAACCTGTTACCTGCTATGCCAGTTCCTAATTCAGGATGCCCCTTGGAGAGGGAAGCCCTCCATGATGAAGGGAATCCTAGTCCAGGTAAAACCCTAACATCAACCCCCAACTGGCCTAGGAGGCTGCCACCATCCACTCATCACCCCCAAACACCAACAAGGCGTGTCTGGTACTGAGGGAAATTGCATTTTGTTTCTCACTGCATTTGGGGTAGGGGCCTGGGCAGCCTAAAATCCTGGGTCATGCTGCTGCTGCTGAAGTTTATTTCCTCATTTTTTACCCAAGAAATAGCAATCACATGACACCCCCCACCTTGTTCTGCCCTTGCCACAGTATGCCAGCAATGTCCTTGGCAAAACTCAGCATTGCCATGTCTCTCGTTAGGCTCCAGAGCTAACAGACAGGTTGGAAGGAGCAGCAGCAGCTCTCACTTCCCACAGAGCTATTGTCTCCGGCTCAGATGTGACCACCCAGCTGCATTAAAGGCAGAGACCTGCCGATGCATTAGAGACACAGGGAGGGTCTGGTCCCAGCAGCGGCCCTGCCCCTGCACAGCACGCAGGTATCCCCCCACTGCAGGGCCTTCCTCTGGAGCACATCAAGCAGGCAACTCCATTGCAGATTTGCTAGGGGGGAGAGGGCAAAGAGGCAGCAGGCATGGGGGTGTCAGTCCCCCCCACCCCAAGCCAATCCATGGCTGTGGGAAACATCCGAAAAGCCCCTGGGGAGACATATTGCATCGAGCAGAGGGGGGAGCGATGGAGTGGGTGGAATGTGCTGACACCGGCGGGGCGAGAGCCCGAGCGCTGCTGACAATTCGGGCTTTGTCAGGGGCTGCCCAGCGGAAGCGCGTGGTAGAAAAGCAGCGGGGACGGGGGGGAAATCAGCTGATTTGGAGCCAGGATTCCCGCCAGCGAGGAATTCAGGAAAAACAGATGGGAAAAATTCTTCCCGGTCAGGCAGAAATCATCACCCTCCGGCTGACGCAGCGCAGAGCAGGGAGACGGGCAGGCGAGGGTCCGCGTACCACCCCCCGTGAGCTGAAAAGGGGAATATTCTCCTTAACTATCACTCTCCCCTGGGAGCTGTGTCCCCGCCACCAGTTCGATACACCCCGAGCGATTTCTCCCACTCCCCCCCGTCTTCTGCAGTCCAGTCTTTACCTGCGGAAGATTCGCCCAGAGGTTTGAGCTTCCCAACTGTCTCCACATCGGGAGGCGCAAGGCCCGGTGGACCAAAACCCAGCAAGAAATCAGCCCCCGGGGTTACAATCTGAGCCCTCGACTCTGCCAGCACTGCCGCGTGATGACTCCATCAGGATGACTACGCTGCGGCGCCTATTGTTGGGGAAGCACGAGGGCTGGATTAGTGCGGAGTGAATGAACAGTCTGAATCCGCAGGGCAGGGCATGGGATTTTCTGCCTCTTCTCCCCCACATAGCGGGAGTGGGCCGACGGGAAAGGAGCACTCGCTCTTGTGTCTCTGCTAATCCCCCCACCCACGTGGCCTCCTGACAGCCGGCCTTTATATCAGGCCTTCAGGGCTGTCCCCCCGGCCCTGTGAATCTGACAGTGGAAAGACAGGCAAGCGGGATGGCACTGCGGGTAAGGGAGAGGGACCAACCCCTGGTATAACTTGGCCTGGTGAGCCGCGTCAGGGATTTGGGTAACTTCAGCAAATACCGCAGCAGCTTTGCAGTGGGGGGCAACAGCCAGAAGGATGCCAGAGACCTAGAGGTGCGTGTAAGCAGCTGCGCGCCTGGCTGACCATCAGGCAGTCAGTCCATCCTAATCGACTCGAGTGACACTTGAGGGCTTTGAGGGCCAGATTCTTGCCTCGGTTGCACCGCTGCTGATCCACAGCACCGCCACTGCCTTCACTGCAGTTATTTCAGAATTAGAGCCTGACGCGGAGACTGGGATCTAGCCCAGAGTTTAGCCAATGTTGTTCTTTTGACTGTTAAAAGACCGTCTCCTGGGACAGCGGGTTGCACAGAGGGAGTTGTTACTGTGAGGACTCTGGGGATGGAGGGGTGGCGGGGTGGGATGGAGGGTTTCTGTATATGGTGGTGTGATTTTCAGGCTGCGGTCCAACAGGCCGGCAACAGACTTCCACCCGCTCTGAACTTTACAATCAGCTTTTCTGACCCAGTGTTTTGAAGGAGGTAGCGAGTAGCATGAGTCTGTGTGTGCATGTGTGTGTGTGCATGTGCATGTGTGTGTGCGCGTGCCTGTGCCTCCTGCTGACTGAAGAGGGTTTAAGCGAGCGACAGCTCTAGAAGCAGCAAAGCAGGTGGCTGACGATTAATGGTGAATTGATTTTGAGGCGACTGCATCCTGGGAAGGCACGTGAGCTAGGAGGATCCCAAGGATGCTGCGGAAATGGATCCCAGTGACGGAGCAGAGGGACAGGAGGGTGAGAGCTGTGAATGGAGCCGAGCCCGCCAAAGCTGCAGTGACATCTCCCAGTGATGGGGAGAAGGATTCTGGGGAAGGGGAATAGAAATAAGGAGGGTGACAATCAAAGAGTGAGACGAGGCTGGGGGGGAATGGAAATGTCACCATTAGAGGAGGGTATCCAGGCTGTAGCCATATTGGTCTAGAGGAAAAAGCAATCAGGACTCATAGTGGAGATGATCTCTTTTATTAGACCAACAAGATTTTTGCGAGAATTTTTTTTTTTTTGCAAGAATTTTTTTTTGCAGAAATCTTGGTCTAATACAAGATATCATCTATACTATAAGTCCTGATTATGATTAGAGGAGAGCAGGGATTTGGAGCATAAGGAAATTGGAGAGAGATTCCAGGTGTGTCTTACTAAAAAGGATTATTTACTAAAAACACAAATTATTCAGAGAGGAATACACTTGCTTTTGGTTTATATGCACGCTGAAGACGATATAACAGGGAGGAAAGCTCACCCCCCCCATCTAGATACCTACACTGCATTCACCTGTGGATACCTCTCGGGTGCATCTCTGCCCTTTGAACCATTCTTCAAGCCAGCTCAAAGTTTCATCCTCAAGTCTCTTAAGATTTTGCATTTCTGGAGCTGAGGACAGAGAGAAGGATGCCTTAGGTCAGGGTTCTTACCCAATATAAGTTTAGGCAAGAACTGTAAGCAAAAGCCCTGGGGTTTCTCTGTGAATTGCTCCAGAGCAGAGATTTCTTAGCTCTACAATGGATGAAGTGAGATTTGTTGCCTCAAAAAGTGAGGCTGAGGGAGTGGGGCTGGATGGGACAGAAAAGGAAAACCTGAGAGAGCGATGATGATTGAGGCTGAGTCTGAGAACCAACTTTCACAGCATCTCACGAAGCAGGATGAGAAAGCGTGTGCCTCTCTGAGCCAGTTAGTCTCAGAGGTGCAACCTTGCTGCCCTGCTTTGTACCTGAGGCTCTTTTTCTTAATGATATCTATCATATGGAGGCAGGGGAAAGAGAAAGAGTGGAGGAGATAAGGGAAAAGACAAAGAGGGGAGGACAAGACAGAGGAGCTGAGACGTGAACTGGTAATAAGGACGTGGAGGGAGTACAGAGAGAAGGGGAAGAGGGCAGAGGCCGGGCAGGGGAGAGGCACAAACTTTTATTGCTATTTCACCCCCTTTTTCTTTATTCACAGTTTGAGGCATCTTGCCCAGAGGGGATCTGTCCAGGCTGGAGTGTGACAGTGAAAGGTGAAACAACCTCCAGCACCAGCATGTAAGGGCCCGTGGCTGTGCTTCTAAGAGCACCGTAGCGTGCCCAGGGACCCAGATGCCTGAGCTGTTTATTTCTCTCATCATTTAGGTTTGAAATTAATTTCCTCTGTGATCCAGGGGACCGTATCGCTTTCCACTTGAATCCCCGCTTCGCCGACTCCAAGATCTTCTGCAACTCCTTCCTAGCCAGCCACTGGGGGCAGGAAGAAGTGACAGATACCTTCCCCCTAGCAGCAAAACAGCCATTCCAGGTAATAAGACCAGCCCACGGGTCCACCGCAGACACAATGTGCTAGGCAGACTGTGTGATTGTACTGGAGTCTGGTCACTCAGTCCTTTCCCCTCGCCCAGCTCTGCTGTCCTTGACACTCTTTTAATTTGGAGTAAATCAGCCAACCCCATTTCCTGAAATTTGGCTGCTTCAGCATGAGGGGCTGTACTTAGCCCAATGCTGTCTGGAATGACGAGATAAAACTCCCAGGTATGCCTCTGGGCCCCACGATGGCATAAGCTCCATGTCGGATAAACAAGGAGGGTAAAACAGGTGGTAGCTGCAAAGCAGTGTAACTTGCACTGATGTGGCACGTGAGCACTGCACAAAGCAGGTGCGATGTCAGAGTGAAGGGGTAGATCAGGGGTGTACGACTAGTAGGAAAGTCACTCGACAGGCAGATGTTAGGCAAAGCTTCCTGCACACGCGCACACCTGCAATTACCACCATGGTGCCTGTGGAGCCCTGCACAAAAGTCACATTCATTTACTGCTCAGCTGATTGAAGCCCGAGGCCACCAAAACAATCAGTGCAAGCTGCATGTGTTTTGCGCACTCCCAAGATCCCAGGTTACTGCAAGCGTATCCCTCACGGGTTGCTACTTTCCAGTTTAAATCCACTGTGTAGCTGACATGGAAGTCGGCCCTGGCAGTAGCTTCCATTAGACCAGAGCTGAGTGAATGACACTTATATACCTAGCCCAGAAGGCCATGGGTTCAAATCCTAGGCCTCATCCTCAAGGCTGCTTGTGTTGATATAGTACTGCAGGGAAACATTAGACTGCTGCAGAAATTACCTTTTGACCTATTTTGTTGTAGCAAGATCCTTTCCACTCCATTTGCTGACTGTCCAGCTACATGTTTTTAGAAAAGATGAATAGGAACAGAATACAAAGTTAATGGAGCCTATAGTTGAATTATGGGTACCAGAAATATCAGGAGGCATAAGGAGAGAGGAAATTATTGTTGCTTCTCTTGGCCACATCAGTTTGCCAATAAATTGGGCCTTGTTTCTAGCAGGAAGAGAAATTGATAGCAGGATTATGTATTCTTCTGATGCAACCCTGTTTCTCTCAGCACAGGATAATCAAGCAATAGGAAGCATTTTCCTTTTTCTCACAGTCCCTAGCCTGCCATTCCAGCTGACGCTCTGCCCAAAAAGCCTCTGTCTCGGTTTTTTTCTTGGGATCAGACTGCTAGTGTTTCTTGTCTCCTAGTTCACGAACTGCTTGCTTCTGACACATGGACATAGACAGCTCTACCTATTAGCATCCCACCCTTGTATTTGCTTTCCGCCTAGTCTTTGGGTGGTCATCTCCATTTTTTCCATTCTCACTAAACAACAAGTCATCTAACTGTTCCTGCATTTAGGTGGAATGGATAATAATCAGCGTATCCATCAGTTCTGGTGGGGTTTGTGATAGATCACAGGTTAAATACTCACTCTCTGGGAGCCACCCAACGCCATCATAACAACAGCATGAAAAACTGCTAACTCGTATTTGGCAAAGCCACACTCCCATGACGGTAGGAGTCCATATACCTGGCGAAGCTGACTCAGTCTCTCTTACATATTGAAGGTAGGGCAGGGTTGCATCTCATAGATGAACTGGTTCAACAAAGCATGAGCTTTTATACTTTCTGCCTGATTTCAGACTAACATGGCTAACCACCTCTCTTACAGATTGAAATCTACTCTGACCAAGACTACTTCCATGTTTTCATTGATGAAAACAAGATCCTCCAGTTCAAGCATCGGCAGAAACAGCTCTCGTCTATCACCAAGCTGCAGATTCTCAATGACATAACAATTTCTGCAGTGGAAATCACCAAACGAGCCCTTTATTAGAGACCAAAGCTAGGACAGGCTCACCTATCTGCTCACTGTTAAGTGCTCTGCTGTACTAGATAGCCTCTCCCCTTCCTCTTCCCCGCATCATCTGCCCTCACCAGGAGGATGGACGCTGCTGAATGACACTTTGGCACAGAATTATAAGTCAATGCAATCTCACAGTGCACTGCATTATAGCAATACAGAGGCAGTTCAGAGCCAGCTCATTAACTCCAGGCAGGCCAGATTACACGAGTCCTTCTGATGCGATGTGCTCTAGGATGAGACACTGGAATTCAACTCGTTTCATCTTTGCTTGTTGTAATTAATAGTGGTGTTGTCTGGAATCCCACCTCACAGCCTGAGAGAGCGTTCCCACCCATAGAAGCCTGACTGATGGTAAAAACAATTCAAAACTTATCCTGGTGACTATCCCTGCCCTCTTGGGACAAGGTATGAATTAGCTCTATTTCTCAGAAGGAATATGTTGATTTTCCTAATAGATGAGGATGATACATGCAGAAATGGCCTGTGAGCTTGGTATGATGTCATCATGATTGCCAATAAAATTACATGCGTGAGTGCTGGGCAGGTGTCTGCTTCCTGTCTCAGAAGGAGATTATCCTGACAGCTGTAACAGAGTATGCTCCTTGCTCCCACCTCTTACGGTGTGATCCATGCCCACATCCCAAGAGAAATGCCATCTCTGCAGCTACTCCAGTTGGTCAGGTCAAATGAATGATTCTTTCCCATGATTTTCCAGCCACAGGATGCAAGCAACTTCCCTTGACTTCAGGGGGCATCACTTGTACCCTGTGCTAGGAAACTAAGGCCTATTGGCTTCAAGGAATGGTGTCCCAGGGGGGCCCTGGGTCAAGCCGAAGGAATATAAGTCATCATGCAACTGCAGAGGAGTGATCTGGTGAATCATAAAGAGGAAGGGTTTTCAAAAAGCAATAAACCTTGATTAACCCTCCAGAAAACACTGGAGACACTACTGGAGTCTACGCCAAAGCATTTTGGTAGCATCACATCCTAGGGATTAAGGAGAAACAAGGCACCGCGTTTCTGATGTTAGTATCAGGCAATCTCTCTCTCCCCACACTTCCCAGCTTCTCAAACCAGTGAAGAAACACACATTCCCTTGTCCCCCATTTTCTTCTTAATGATCGTCTTTCCCCTTCCCCTTTCCTCTCTGAAACGAATCGTGTATTTCTCCATGCGGAAATACAGGCACGGTCCCAGACTGTACTCCCAGAGGAGGAAAGCTGCTTTCAGGACTCGCATGCAACGGAACAAGAGCAGCACTGCCCGTGTGAGATACGAACAGGAGCTTGCTCACGAGGCAGCTCTTCCCCTCCTGTATTGTAGGTACCCCATGGACTGAGCTCCAAATGGCAACAGCGGGGAAAGAGGACAAATTATTTCCATCAAGAAGGATTTACTGTGTATTGAGATACCTCCTGTTTCTCCTCCATCAATGGATGGAGTCACGGGAATTATTACTGACGCCAAAAAAAGGCCAGTTTTGCGCTCCTTTGCCAAGCTGCAAGGTTTGTTAGGCTGAGGTCACTCTCAACTTTTCTCCCCATTTATAGTCTCATTGACTGATGAGGAAGGGGTGACTATTTAGCTGATCACAATACAGAACACTGCGACGTCTACATTTACAAGTCTATTAAAAGCTTATGGTATTTCCAGACCATAAAGAGCAATAACTAGAAGACATTAGGATCTCATGTGCTGAGATCATAAGAGAACTGTGCTGAAAACATAAGATGGCCCAGAATGGATGTGTTCCCATGAGAAGAATAAGAAATCTGTTTTGCAAGTGGCCACCATACCGGTTACAAGGGCTGGGTGATTTATTTGGGGACAAAAGAACTTAGTTTCCTTGTTCATTCACCACTAAGAAAGGCCCAGCCCGAACTGGAGAACCCTCCTTTTCCGAAGTGAGATGCTCTTTCACTCCCTGTGTTCATTCGGGTTTGGACTTCCCTCTGCCCTGGAGTAAATCAGCCACTCCTGGGACAAGAACAGCACTTGCTGCCTGATTCTGATATACAGCTTATGCTGGACTAAATAAGGAGCTAACTCCACTGAGTTTGTTATGGCAACAGTCATTACAGCTGTAGAGCAAATGTAAATGTCAGCAGAATCAGGCCCCTTCACATTTCTGAGCTGCATCTCTAGTAACATTGGGCTATACTTGGAAGAAACTGCTCTTTTCATCTTTTAGTCCCTGTTGGATATTTCATGGACGCTGATTATCTGCACAGGCAAAAAGCCATGAAGGGTTTTACAACAATAATATTTTGCACTTATATGGCAGTAAAATCCATCCACAGTGCACTGCTATGTAAATAGTCCATGATTCGAGGGTCTCCAGCGCACAGCACAACTGAGCTCAGACCAACGGGGCAAACAGGTTTCAAGTACAAATAATAAAAAAAAAAAAAAGACCTATCACAAAATATCAGCCAGCAGCTGGAGATGCTGCTTTGGTGCCTGAACCCATTCCCCTCTGCTTGCCCAAGAGCAAGCAGGCTGTTGTGACATCCTGTGACATCTGCATGGGGAAGCAGAGCCCAGCTTTTCCTGACACACAAGTGGAGATGCTGTCGCATTAGTGATTTTAACCACTTCATCCGCCACCAACACTTTCGCTGTCCTGGCAATGAAAGGTGCTTTCAGGTTGCTGCCTCTAGCATATCATGCTTGAAGAAAGAAATCCTGATGTGGAGCCGCTAACAGCCACAGCGCGTCCTGGACACCGTGCACCAGTGCCCATTATACCTTTATCTTTCATGTTTCCACAGGAAATTGGAAGTGCCCTATGGCAAGGATGGAGGGAGAGGCTGATTTTCCTTAAGCTTCCTTGGTAGGGTGAGGTGGGTAAGGTAGGGTAAGCTCTGGTTATAAAGCAGAAGCTGCTGCCTTCACTAACTTACATAAAAGAGAAGCAAACCCAAAAGAGATGCTTAATTCCTAAGCTGGAGCAGCGAGAGAGAGAGATTTACAGGCTGGAGGAGACCTGTTTCTCTCTGCGTCTGACAGACTCCATTATTCCCACACTGAGGGATGCCTTTCCGTACCCGACAGAGCTGATCCTATTATTCCAGGCAGATGGAGTCCGCTCCTTTTTCAACATGTATTCTCACATGTAACGGGCCCAGGTAAATCTGGAGTTTCTTGCTGGGGAGTCCAAAGGGACTCGAGATCTCCCAACCCCTGACTCTCAGTCTGCCTCGTTAAGGAGGATGGTGAATGACTTGTAGTGGCCAAGACTCCAAGTCTTGTTGCTACCTTGGGCACCAGATAAAGCCCTTTTACCCCTTCCTCTTGTCCGTGCTAGATGTACACATCACTGCTCTGATGAGCTCGGGGGAGCACCTTCGTTTGCCCCCACATCGCTGGGAGGAAGAACGAGTCCTACAGCCCTTTGCAATGAATCCCGCGTCTCCTTGGCTTCCTGGCCCCATGGGTCAGGGACCCCTCAGGGCTTTGCTGAGTCACAGGGTGTCCTTGAAGCATCACCCAGAGCAGACCTGCAGGCCTCCAAAGGCCTGTGATGTTCAGTGTGTGGTCACGGGTATCGCTGACACTCCTAACAATTGCCACACTTGCCTGCTGACGAGGACTGGCAGCACAGCCAGCTGGCACAGCATGCTCTCTAGACACATCGAACTGAGTGACCTCCCCCTGCCCGCCCCAGCAAAGGGCTCATCTCTTATACAGCTGCTGCAGGGTGCTGCCCAAGGAGAGCGACTGCAGGGCAGGGGCTCGCCACCATGTAGAAGACCGAGATCCCGTCCCGCTCTGAGATGCAGGGAAGGGAGGACAGCCTATCAGTTCTGTCCGACGTGTATATTTTTGTTCCTAGTTTTAAGAGCTCTTAGCATCCCTGCAGAAAGAAGGCTTCAGGGCTAATGCGTTGTGTTGCACATTCAGAGCTACAGAACAGCTCTGACAGCAATGATGGACGAGTGGAGAAGAGCGGGACTGTCATTCATTTTTTAGTGAACAACACCCCTTCTCCCCATTTCATTTCCCTTGCAGGGATGCCAGCGGGTGAGGATGGAGCTGATCAGCTGCAGGTGTCCCATCCCCTTGCTGATCTTTCACCAGCTGTTTACGGTTCTGAAGTGCAGCCTGAGCAGCCATCCAAATCCTATAACCCCACCTTGCACCCCACTGTCACCAAACCAGACGCCTAGGACAGCAGAGCTGATAAGCAACAGGTTTGTTTCTGAACTCATCCATGAGCCTGGCAGAGTCCAAGCTCATTTTCAGATTTAACTCACGGGGTCCTAATTCCCCCTAAATACACAGGATTTTTGGCTACTTCCAAGTAGAAGAAATATGGAGGTGAAATATATACTTTCCTTCCAAGGAAGACTAGAAAGTGGGGAGCAATGAGGGGTAACTCACCATTCCTGATGGGACAAACACAGTTGCCAGTTACTGGCCTGTGGGCATGAAACCTGGCATGACTCGCAGTGAGTGAATCAATGGTGACTGACCTGAATGTGGGTATATTCATTTTTTTCTTGTGGAGTTTAGTTGGGTTGGAAAAAGATTTACATGAAAATCTGGAAAAACCTGAAGCTTTTGAGGCATTTCAATGTGGAGCTCAGGTCATCTTGGTCTAGTTCCAGCTTGCATGAGAAGGTGCCCCCCACTGATGCTGTGTGCGCAGAAGAAGAGATCAGGCTCCGAAACCTTGCTGGTCAGGGAAATTAAAAGCAGGTTGGGGAGAGATTATTTTCTGAAACTGATGGAGGGTTGGAGCTGGCAGCTGAAGTTCTCCCCCTACCCGACAGGTGCATTGTTATATCTATCATCTCATCAGTGACTAGGGAAATGCCATTTATTAGGCTAAGAGGGTCCGGCTCTATTATATACATCAGTCCTTGGTGTTTGGCTCCAAACCCTCCCACCAGTGTAACTGGATGCAGCACTACATCATGTGCAGCACTGCAAACTAAAGTAATGCCAATCCTTTGCTTTACCAGAGCACAAGCCAACTGGCCATTGAGATTAGGAATGAACTATCTGCCTCCCTGCCCAGGCAAAAGCAAAAACACCAGTCACGTCTCACTCAGAGAGTCCAAAAATGCCTTTTAGAGGGAGGTCAAAGACAAGGAAACTGAAACACAAGGAGGGGGAAATGACTGGGCCAAAGTCACACAAGAGGGGAGCATCAGAGCCTGAAATAGCGCTCCCAGGTCAGTGCCTGACCCACAGGAACAAACCGGCTGCCTGCTGCCTGCACACAGAGCCAGGTACTCTACAGGTTTTGGGGTCTCAGCTTCACTCCAGCATATCAGATAGTGTTTAATAGACTTAGAAAACTGAATACTGAATGGGCTGGATGACAGCCCTGTTCATACTGCCTCACACCATTAACAGACCTGGTCTCACATACCCCGTAGCCTCTGGATCTAGAATAAGTGCCTAAGCTTGTTAGCAGTGAATCAGTTTAAAGGGTTTTGTCTTCTGCCACTGTGCACTTTTCTTTCCCTACTCTGGGCTATAAAATGCCATTTCTTCTGGTTTCCTTGTTTCAGATTCCAGCCTAATCAGAAACTT